TTTTCAAATACCATTGTAAGCTGATTGTTTTTACGATCGCCATCGACCTTATAGCCTCCTCTTGGGCTTTGTACAACGACGCTCGCTACACACTTCACATATAAAGTTAAAATCAAATTCTTTTCCAAACTTGATCCAACGTTAAGTATCTTCAAAGCAAATGCAATTAACCTTCAACCTTCCTTATTCACTTGATCACATCAAATCCTCCTACTCTCCTTGTAAGTCAAGTGGTTTGGCCTCGCCATCGACCTTACCCTATAACCATAGGACCACCTATCCATTAGTTCAACCTTGTTCGTTCCATACGCAAACTTAAACCTCGATTTACATCGAGTAATTTCTTCAAATCAAATTAAAATACTTAATAACTACTCAAATACAATTTCAATAAAGATGAAAAAGAGAGAGCTCCAAGTCTTTGGTTCACTCTCCCAATTGTTTGGGTCCGAGAAGTCTTTCTTAAGCTCGAACAATTGTATTCTAAAAAAATGATAAACGAATTCAAATATATTTTTCTAAACACGTAGATGAAAAAAGAGAGAGTTCCAAGTATTTGGTTCACTCTCCCGATTACTTGGGTCCGAGAAGTCTTTCTTAAACTTCGAGTAATCATCATCCGGTTAAAACACTCTAATTATATCAAACATCTTTCATAATATTAGATGAGAAAGAGAGAGAGTCAAGTCTTTGACTCATTCTTGATTACTTAAATTCCGAGAAATCTTTCTTAAGCTTTGAGTAATCCTCATCCGCTAAAACATTCTTTAATTATCTCCCTTTCGTCCAAAGTCTTCCAAACACAACCACTCTTTGGGATGAAAAAGAAAGAGCTCCAAGTCTTTGGTTCACTCTCCCGATTACTTAGGTCCGAGAAGTCATTCTTAAGCTTTGAGTAATCGTCATCCAATCAACTTAATCGAACCGTACCCATTTCCTTCCTTTCTTAGATGAAAAAGAGAGAGCTCCAAGTCTTTGGTTCACTCTCCCAATTACTTGGGTCCGAGAAGTCCTTCTTAAGTTTCAAGTAATTGTCATCCGATTAACCTACTCGAACTACATCCTATCCTTTCGCATTCGAGGTTGAAAAAGAGAGAGCTTCAAGTCTTTGGTTCACTCTCCCGATTACTTGGGTCCGAGAAGTCTTTCTTAAGCTTCAGGTAATCGTCACCTCTAACTAAATATCCAATACATTAACCAACCTCGTTGTCTCGCCCCCGTGCGACCAAAACCCTAAATCCTATTCAAATCTATCTTCCTTTCCAAACCAAAATACTTAACCAATCAAACACTAATTCCTCGCCCCCGTGCGATCCACAACTTAGACAAACCTTACCAAAGAACATTGTTTAGACCTTTCTTCCGCGCATAACAAACTAGTGCTTCAGCCTCCCCTAGCGAGCAGACAAGCCAACGTTTAGTAGTTAGAATGCGACCTAAACATTCGTTCCATTCAAATACAACCTTTCTTTTCACGATGAAAAAGAGAGATAGTCAAGTCTTTGACTCGCTCTCCCGATTACTCGGGTCCGAGAAGTCTTTCTTAAGCTTCGAGTAATCGTCATCCATACCCATTTCAAACCAATTCAACTGTAGTAAGCCGAACTACGGCTGCTCTAATTTCTTATTCCCTAATAAGGATACGTAGGCACGAGGATCTCTATCCTTGACGAGCACACTAACAACTAACTTCCCCTTTCTCTTGTCCCAGTGCAATCGAGACCAACCTGTTATTCAAAACCTTTTCTCTCGCCCTAGTGCGATCGAGACCTTTTCCCGTAGTTAGCCGAACTACGACTGCTTTGATTCTTCATTCTTTTCTGAATGTAAGATACGTAGGCACAAGATTGCGATGATCTTGGCGAGCACAATTCCCTCTTTTTCCCGTAGTCCCACGAACTACGAATGCTCTGATTTTCCACTTCTTACAAGTGAAGATACGTAGGCACAATGGCCCCAATCCTTGGCGATCACCCTATCTTATAAAATACCCATTTTCCTTAATAAGCAATTCCTTAGAAGATAAACAAACAAGCGTAGTTAACTCTCTCTAATGAATCGAATCAAGAGGTTCCCGTTGAGTACAACGGACATGAGGGATGCTAATACCTTCCCCTCATATAATCGACTCCCGAACCTAGAATATTGGTTGCGATGACCATGTTCTTATCTCTTTAAAGGTTTTATCGATATTTTCCTATTCCATCCTTGGAATAAATAAAGTTCGATGGCGACTTTATTTAGAACGTATTTTCTGCGTCCATCGCAAGGATCGTATTTTTCGAGGTACGACACAGAGGAACTAAACAACCCTTAAAAGAGATGCATATTCCCTCACCCAGGCCTACTGAGAGAACCGACCGATCAGAGGGATTACCAACCATGATGCCAACTTTTGTGACAGCCTCGAGAGTGTTCAAGACGGAAGGAATCCAAACCAATTAAGCGGTCACCCATGATATCTATTAGCATTAGCCGACTCAATTAGCCGGAATCCTTTGCGAGCAAGCACATCAGCTTTATAATGGTCACCAGGGCTGATCCAGGATACAACATCATACTGCCTCAATCATTCCAAGTGACGAGTAATTTCATCATTGCTAGGTTCCTGACCAGTTACCCCTAGATATGTTTTAACGAAACTACTGGTACTTTCCCTCCTTTGATGGACAAATTCTATTTCTGCCTCAGTTAAGACGTGATGAGACACCAATTTCTCGACAAAGATTTCACCCTTGTCAGAGTTCTCTGAAAAGTGAATCTCCAAATATTCCCTAGAAAGAATATCGTTTGAAAGAGATCCTCCAGACGATCCTTCCATTTACGAATCATCACTCAAAAAGACGACTTCCGGTTTAAAATCTCCACTTACAAAAGGGACAAAATTTAAATCAGACTCCATTCCCTTTTCAGAGGATGAAGAAGCATTGTCCTTAGAATCACTTTCGGCGGTAGATGGGTTATCGTTCATAGTAGCGAAAATATAGTAAAATAATGGAATGGAAATCTAAAGGAAGAAAGGTACATCGAAATGTAAGGTCGAAAGTGATTAACAAAAGATAGTGCCGAAGAGTCGAAGCTTTAAAACTTTAAAATATTGAATGTGTAATAACAATTACTCCTAAAGAAAAATTCTCTCAAAGAGGAAAAGGTTCAAAAAGACAATGAAAATTCAAAGACAATCAAATTGCAGGGTTACTAGTTTGATCCGCGACATCATATTTATTTATCTTCAAAATGTGAAATTTAATTCATTAGACTACTTGAAAAAAAGTCTTTTATACCAACGCATTATACTCAATAATATTGAAAATGAAAAATGTATTATAATAATTAAATTTCTACATAGAATAAAAATTAATATTTAAAATAAATGTATAAAGAGAAATATATTTTATGTCGTTGAGAATGCTTAATATATAAAAGTTAGTAACATTAACCAACCAAGACCAAACCATTATATCTCCTCCACCCTCCCATATTGATCCTTTGCTACCCACCTACTCCACCCTCCCATATTGATCCTTTGCTACCCACCTACACCATGGCAAGCTCTCTTGTGGCAAAATACTTGGAAGAATATGATATAGACCAAGAATGCAAAGAGTTGATACAAACATTACCATTAGAGAAAGGGATGATTGAAACCCACATCCACCAATATCAAGGATTTTGACAAACCACAAAAGAACTTCAAGGAGTTTTGTGCTGTCAAAAGCACTTTCAACCCCATGATACAGATATAATCGTTGCTATAACTGCCAAAAACAGGTACTACTTAGCTCAAAGCATTAAGTTTTGCCTTACTCAACCGCAAGAAATATCCAAACATACATAATAGCAACCATTCTTTGACTAACAATTCTCATGTTCTTGTTCCCTACTTGGATCTTACCCTTAACTAAAAGAGATATATTATCCCAGACTATTCTCTACACATCTTTCTTATGAGTCATTGCCAAAATCCTTGAAAGACTCAACTTGTAAGGTGGTATATCTATGTAGAGATCCTAAAGATACTTTAGTTTCACTTTGGCATTTTGTAAACAAGTTAAGACCACTAACTAGGGAAACACTTTCACTAGAAGAAGCTTTTGAGAGTTTTTGTAGAGGAGTGAGTTCATTTGGACCCTTTTGGAAGGAAAGTTTGGAAAAATCAAAGAAAGTTATGTTTTTGAGATATGAAGAAGTGAAAATGAAGCCTAGTTTTTATTTGAAAGAGATTGCTGAGTTTTTAAAGTGTGCATTCTCCAAAGAAGAAGAATCTAAGAGTGTGGTTGATGATATAGTAAATCTGTGTAGAAGCTGGGCAACTTGGAGGTTAATAAGACTGGGAAATTGCCTTCTAGAGACGAAAATAGCATTGCAAAATATTCTGGCAATTGAAATTATTGAATGGTTAAGTACAACCACAGAAAATAAATGGCTAAACATGCGTTAAATATTTTGATAAGTGAATAAGTAATTGAGTCACTGTTTTGGGTTTTTACTGTTGTATTTCTTGTATTGTGTTGTTTAAAGAATTTCTTTCTGCACACTGACTTCAGCACTAATTTAGCAAATATTTGTTAATGTATGTAAATAAAAAAGGGAATGTGATACAACTACTTTTGATGTATGATATAATGTAGAGTAATTTTTACATATACTACAACACTTTTTTACAACAAAAGATTTTCATAATTTTGCATGCATTATTTTCACCATTTCAAAGGCCACAAAGCTGATTTTTAAAACAACTCCCATAATTTAAAGAACTCGGACTATAAGAGGCACTTCATAAAAAATTGACTATTCAATCCAAAAGCACTTTGATGAAATAATCTGAGTCTCTGTCATCTTCACTAAAATGCAGCAAAACTAAAATTCTTGAAGGAGAACTTTGTCATCCATTATGGTATCTGCAGTTTACAGTTTGCAGTTGTGCGTAGAAGATATTCGGTTTAGCAAGAACAAAAATATTGATAACACTTACTCACTCATAATGCCTATCCTATCATTCAGATTCCTTGAGCAACATCCGTGAGATTTGGAACATATCCATGTGATCTCAACAACACAGTCAATCCCTTCAATACCCTATATATACTTTCTGTCTCTAAATGCCTCTCATCTAATGAATAAAATTCCACCACACTATCATTACACTCAATAACACTACATCCAGGCAATTTCCTAAACCCAGTATCTCTCATTGCAACCTTCAATCTGGCAACATCTTCCCATTTCCCCAAATCTTTATATATGTTCGAAAGCATGACGAAATTTGCAGGGTTTTTCGGTTCAAGTTCAATAAGCCTCTGCAGAGCCAGCTCAGCTATCTCAACATTCTTGTATATCCTACATGCTCCTAGTAATGCAGCCCAAATAACCGCGTCAGGTTCCATTGGCATATTTCTTATAAAACTCAATGCTTTATCTAAAAGACCAGCTCTTCCAAGCAAATCAACCATACATCCATAATGCTCAATTTGAGGCACAATTGAATAATCATCAACCATTGATTTGAAATACAAAAAACCATTTTTGACCAAACCCATATGAGTACAAGCAGACAATATTCCAACAAAAGTAACCCCATCCGGTTCTTCTCCCTCACTCTCCATCCTATCAAACATACTCAACGCGTTGGGCGCGTGTCCATGTATGGCTAGTCCATTAATGATAGTGTTCCAACTGATTATATCTTTTCTATCCAAACAGTTAAACACGACAACAGCGTTTTCAATAACACCACATTTTGCATACATATCAATCAAAGCATTGCCAACAAACAAGTTTCCTTTATACCCAATACTCTCTGCATACACATGCACCCACTTCCCCATATCAAGTGCTCCCAATCTCGAACACGCAGACAACACAGCCACAAGCGTGAAATCATTAGGCACCACATGACCCTCAATCAACATTCGCTTAAACGACTCCAAAGCATCCGAAAAAAGATCATTTTTTACATAACCACCAATTAGTCCATTCCAAGAATATACATTCCTTTCCGGCATTTCATCAAAAATCTTCTCAAACAACTCAACATCCCCATTCGCAGCATAACCGTTTAACATAGCATTCCACGACATCGTATCCCGGTTCGGCATCTTATCGAAAAGCTCCCTTGCAACAACCATATTCTTCATTTCAATGTAACCCGAAATTAAAATGCTCCACATTACAACATCCCGCTCAGGGGCTAAATCAAAAAGTCTTCTCCCAGAAGCCACATCCCCACAAGATATATAACCGCTTATCATAGCAGTCCACACAACAACATTCCTCTCCCGCATTTCACCAAACACTTTATAAGCATCTTCAATACACCCCTTCATCGAGTACATATCAATCAACGATGTAGCCACAAATGAATTCGACTTAAACCCAAGCTTCGCAGCACAACAATGAACTTCTTCACCTTCTACAAAACCTTTTGACTTTGCGCACGACTTAATGATCATCGGAAACGTGAAGCAATTCGGCATCGCAGCGGCACGGTTCAGTTTCCCGAACATAACAACAGCGTCACGGTGCAGTTCGTTTTGAGAGTAACCACGGAACATAACGTTCCATGTAGCAGTATTTGGTTCGGGAATTTTACCAAACAGTTTTCGTGCGTGGTGCATTCGTCCGAGTCGCGAACACGTTGCGATGAAACTCGGCGCGACGAAATTGTTGTGCTCGAGTCCATGGGTAACTATTTGGGCTTGAATCTGGTAGAGACGTTCGCAGGATTTACATGAACGCAATAGACTAATCAGTTTTTCTTCTATAATTCTCTGAACCGGATTTAACACATGCTTAGTTAAAGGCTCCACCATCGGGGAGCATTTGTAGCCGTAGATTATATATTAAATATAGATCAATGGTGGTTACTGGTTATAGTATTACCTGGAAAGTCTTCAGTCTTCACTACTAACAACGCGGATTAACTCTTGGTTTGAGTTTGGACCGGTTCAGACTGAACCGGTTTGCAAGCATGTTTCGTTTATATTTTGATCAATGAAGATCAATGAAACGTTAAAACAAAGAGGGGAAGTTAAGAATTCATGTTTGAATGGTATGAACGAGAAAGAAAATTTCAAATTGAGTTCTGAAGGTACTGTTGATTTATAATTTCACCCCAATCAAAGCTCATGTCGCATCATTATTAATAGTAATGTTTAAGTAATGTGTAAAAATCTAGGGTCCAAATATGAGTATATTTTTCAAGAAAGTGTATAGTTTTTAAAATTTCAAAAAAAATGTAAAATTCTGATACAAAGTTTATATTTTTCTAAAATAGTGTATATATTAGTATTTTTCAGAAACTATAATAATGTGGATTTTTTTTTAAATAACGTCTCATATATTAAAAAATATATTATTAAAAGAGGTGTTCAAAACGTAGATGGTCAAGATATAATGATTAATCAAATCATATATATTTAAAAATTATAATATATAATTTAGGTGTGGAAATTAAATATTTATAAAATTAAAAAAGTTATGAAATAATTTTAAAATATTTGAACCATTGAAAAAAATTTCTTTGACGGTAATTCTAAAACTATAAGGTAATGTCTTTTGTAGTTTTTCCTTAACTGATACTCCTTATATCTCGAATTCTTTTTAAATGGAGATAATTTTGGTTGTGTACGGTATATTGGGTATCATAGTTTATATATAGTGTAATTATCAATTATGATTCTCATTATTTTCAAATGAGTCATGTTGACCTCCATTCATATTTGAATTCATACCAATTAATTAAATAATTACTAAATAAAATTTAAATATTCTTTTAACATTATTTGATCACATAGTTATTTAAGACACTTTGATAAAGTAGCTAATATAATTAAATAAATATATTTGACCACATAATTATTGAAATACTAAAATAAGACTAAATTATTAAAATATTCCAACAATCTTCCACTTGACCAATATATCTTAATAATTATATCATAATTCTTTAGCCGCGCATTTGAATGCTATTTATTTTTATATTTCAACTTTACAATCTATTCCACCTCATACATCAATAATGAGACCATTGCGGTTGTCGTCACTAACGTATAACGTGACGGAACCCCAACGACCACCACATCAACGTACTTGATAACTTAGATCGATATGGATGAGTGACATAGAAATAACATACAATGTAATCTCTAAATCATGCATATTTTCAACTGGTCCTACCGGAGTTTTTAGTGAGATCAAATTGAAGTTCCTTAGGTGCAATTCAAAATTACAATATTTGCATATAACAAAAAAAACTTGATATTGTTATAACAATAATACCTCATAAGTTTTTATTTCTACAGAAAATTAAACATAACATAAAGTTTGTACCAAAATACAACAAAAGCATAGAACATAGAAAATTAAGGAAAAAATCTCCCATTAATCTAAGGCAGTCTCGAAACCAAGACCCATATGAGCAACATGCCCATTAAAAGTCTTAGGTGTTAAACCTTTGGTTAGTGGATCAACTAGCATTAAGTTTAGGGATGTCAATTTGCATCCATTAAGTTTTGGAGCTCCGAAGTCGGAGATTTTATCCCCCGCGGGGATGGGGATGGAGAAAAAAGTTTCTCCGATGACACTTCGGTGCAGGGATAGGAGAAGTACCCTCCGCCCCACGGATTCTCCGACCCAGACCATAATATTTAACTTTATATTATATAATATATAATCATATAATTTGACATGTTTATTTTATAAAAAATTTATTAATATATTAGAAAATGAAGAGTCATAAGTGGATCATTTTTTTGTTTTATTGTATAATGTATTGGTTCACCATTGAAGTACCTCATCCTAGAAAAGTGCATGTATACACCCTTTCCTCTTCTTCTTTTCTCAATTCGCTTTGTCTCCTGCATTCCTCATCTCCTCTATTCTCATCATCATCAAAACAACTACTCTTATTTGTTCATTGTGCTTATGGTAATTACTCTTCAACTTCAATATACTTCAATTATCAAGCTAATTTTTATTCAATTAATAAATTAGTGATTATGTTTTTGTAACTGCAAGTGCTTTTGCATTTGTTTGTTATTGATTCAAGATGTATTTTTATTTATTAAAAAAATGCAAAATATATGTTTTAAAAAACGAAAAAAAACTAAACACTAGTGTCATAGTTTTGATAAAAAAAAATATTTTTTTTTTGATGATTCGATCTTCGTCGATCTCTGATTCTCTGTGGGGATCTATGGGAATGGGGATGGGAAAAATATTCCCCGTGGCGGGGATCTATGGGAATGGGGATGGGGAAAATATTGGGGGGCAGGGCGGGGAGCGGAGAAGCATCCTCCGCTTATTCCCTACCCCGTTGACATCCCTAATTAAGTTTGTCCCTATATGTTCTATCAAAATTTATTTCTCCTGAACTCTTTCTTTCACAACAAGATACTTGATATCAATACATTTTGATTTTGTAGAACTTATTTTGTTGTTGGAGTAGAACACGACTGCACTATTATCACAATAAACCTTCAAGGGTCTTTCAATGCTACCAACAATATGTAGTCTTGAGACAAAGTTCCATAGTCAAATTGCATGTTTGATGCCTCAAAGCAAGCCACAAACTCTTTACCATGGTTTAAGTGTAATACTCTAATTTTCACCTCTAAGATCCCACATGCCATTTACATTCTACTTCACAAACAAGATCATAAGCTTTGGTTTTCTTGTCCTCCTCTATAGTTTTGTCTTGAGGGAGATCACCAAGCACCTGTGCGTTTCTTATATGCTTTTATTTGATTGTTTATGTTTACTAACCCTAATCAAAATCCAAAAATATGTTTTTTTTTCCTTTTATTAACCTTTTTCAAGAAGAGGTTGGGATCAAGAATATCAAATACCAGTCCCTCAGTTCAAGTGTAATTCATCTGAAAAAATTCAAAGTTTGGTGAACATCATTTTTAAAGAATTTTCCAATCTTGTTTGATCAAGAGTTTCCCAAGATTTGATTATTTATTACTCAATAAACTCTAAGGTTCATGTGTTTATTTTCATGTCTTCTTTGACAAGTCAAGAATCGAGTCAGAGCCTGAGCAGTGCAGCCAACATAGCTAATTTTCACAAATTTTACTATGGTAATTAATTACCACATTTGGTGTAATCAGTTACCATCCTTCAGAAGGGCCATTTTTGGAGTTTTCCAACATGGTAATCGATTACCACATATGTTGTAATCGGTTATAGTTACGAAAATTTGGCCAGGAAGTGCATTTTCAAGTTCTACAACATTTTGATACCGCATTCCATTGCATGACATCATTTTACATCAGGTGGAATATTCTAGAGCATGCACAATCACCTCATTTAACTCCTTTATCCCATCATAATTAAATTCCATCATACACCCTCATTTAATCACACTTTTTAACCACTTGATCTTTGATTTTGCTTCTAATCTAATTTCCAAGCCTAGATTAAATTCTAAACCAAGCTCCAAGCCACCAAAATTCCCAAGCCTAAACTCTATAAATAGAGCCCTCATTTCATTCATTCTTCAAACTTTTGAGAGCCAAATTTACCTTGTCAAAATTCTTCCTCATTCTCAATTTTTTTCATCTATCCAAATTCATCAAAGCTCTTTCTTCCATTAAAAGTTAGTAAACTTTTCATTGAAGCTTACTAACCTTTGAGCTAAACCTCTATCCAAACACTTTATCAACATCAAATTATGTAGATCCAAGCTTTGGAGTGTGGTTCTTGAAGTTTTATTTGAAGCATTTTCGGATTTGAAAGTGGTAAACTCGTGTTCCACCATTGTTGTGCTTGATTCATCTTCCACAATATGATTTCTTGTTGATTCTTGCTACTTATTTTTCTTTGAGAAATATTTTGTGATCCCATTAGTGTTAATTGCTCTTAATTTGATGGAGTTTTCGTGCTCAATTGCATCCTTGATTATGAGGTGTTTGTTTAAATGATTAATCAAGGATTAGTGCTACTACAGTTCTGTTTTTGCTAATTTCGTGGTCATAACCGATTACAGAAAATAGCATAAACAATTACGTAGTTATTTTTTGGCTTGGAACTGCAATTTTTCATGCTGTAATCGAGCTTTTGGCGTAACCGATTACGGCCACGATTTTTGCTTTTTTGCTACTGTTTGGGGACTGTTTTGAGTTCTTTTCTTCCATCTTCCATTTCCTTTTGTTTTTTTCTTGAATTGTGGTGTTTGTTGATCAAATTTCTCTTTAAATTCCATGAACTTTGGGAGTTTGATGAGGTTAGATAAACCTTCATTAGTTCAAATCTATCTTTATGTGGATCATTGGATTCATTATAGGTGCTTTGAATTAGTGATAAGTTTAGTACCTTAATCCACCAAGAAGAGTGATGGAACTTAAAGATGGAATGATTCAAATATTGTAATTCAATTTGGCCTCCCATCTCCCCTCTTTTTCTATTTTTCTTTTGGTCAATGAAAATCTTACATATCATTAGACTTCTCTTTGAAGTTATAATCAAGATGAGACCACTACCTCTTTTCTTTTAGCATGACAAGTTTCAGGAGAATGTACTACATGTCATTTCTCTAACTTGTATTAACACGAACATTGTTATTGACCGGCCTCAGACAGTCGTGACTTCTACATAAGTCCGATTATGATTACTTAACATAGTGCTAAATTGTCCTTAAATCAGAATTGTGTTGTTTTTGTGAGAGTGTTATCAATCTCCTATTCTCCATAGTGTAATGTGTGATAAATTGTTTCCTTGTCGCTAAGGGAGTTAGTTGGCATACTCATTAATTTTATCCGAGTTGAGGCCCTTCACTTAATGATGTATGGATTCATGTTCTCATACTTAT